AGAACTTTCGGATACAAAGTCGGGGCAGGTTAAAATTTTTATCTTTGGGACTGGTACCTGGAGAATGATAAAAAAGGGCTTTGCTTAATATATGGGCTTGGAAACTTTTTCTGTAAATGGTCAAATGATAAATATATTAGGCTTTGCAGGTCAGGTGGTTTCTTTTTCATATATTCAGTAAAAACTATTTGTAAGATAGCTGGCAGGCTGCATTGGCCATCATTTGCCTGTGGGCCATATTTTGCCAACCCCTACCCTAGTGCATTGTAATGTTTTAATCTATTTTCTTTAAATAAATGCCCATTCTACTCCATATTCTTTGGCTAAGTACAGCATCACAAGCCCTAAGCAGAGAGATAAAATCAATCTGATCACAGTACAGGGAAAAATGAAAAAAATGAAAGAAAGAAAGAAAGTTGTTCTTAGAACAAGGGAGAAGATAATTCAAAATCAAATTTATAAATTTAGATATTAAACAAGCATTAATTCTTAGAACTAGGCAGCTGAGAAGTAGAAAACTATACATGTAAAAACACTAATAGAAAAATAAAAGATGATGGTTGCTAATGGCTTGTGATTCCCAATAATCAGTTCTCAGTCCCCTTTACCTTGCTTGAGTTTGAGTGAAATCTGCAGGTACTCGTCTGCTGAGATGGGTTGCCCATCTGCTTCCAATTCTAGGGAAAAATCCCTCAGTGTCCACACAAAATCTGGAAAGAAGCTCACAAAGTCAGCTGAATCCTCAACCTCATTTGCATCAGGTGAAGATTTTGCCCTTATTTTTTCTGTCAGCTCTGTCACATAGCTGAGTAGCAAACTAAGGAAAAATGGTGTAAAAGTACAGTGCCCCTCATGCCATATTAGTCCCACATATTCCAAACCTTGGTTTTGGCTTTGTTTCTAACCCAAGTGTTAATTCTTCTTGCCCTTGAATTATTTTTCATACTTTCTCTTTTTGTGCTTGATTCGCCAGGATTCACATTCAGGGAGCTGGTTTTTAGGTACTAGTCTCCCCTCTGATTTTGATGCTGTTCTGGACCACAAAAAGGATACTGCAGTTGGTCCATGGCCTGCTGGTTTATGGTCCCCATGCTATTGTACACAAAGGTGCTGCTCAGCAGTATTGCCAGGGCAAAGATCCAGGAGTCATTTTGGTTGTCACCCTGGAAATCAGAACCCATTTGGGTCAGGATTATGTTTTATTGTCATGGCACTTTCCAGACCAGCAGTAGTAAATGGGTGCTCATTTAGTTGAATGGCTTTTTTTAGATTAATGACTTATAAGCAGAAAACAAATTCAAATGAAAATTGTTAGTCGGACTTGGACTTTGAATAGTCTTCTGATTAGTGTTTTTGTTTACACTGATCCTCACTAGGTCCTCTTATGACCATTGGCAGATAATTGCAAAACAAACAATCCAGATTGGTGGGCACTCCAAAGCCTTAAATGTAATTTAATTTCTCTATGTTTTTGCAGCAAAATTGACTTATGTAAGAGTAATAATACTTATAGCTATTTTATCTAGTCATTATTATTCACCTAACACTTTACATTCTTATTAAATATTCAAAACAATACTATGAGGCCAATATAGACCATTTGCAATGGTTTTACAGATCAGAAAACTGAGGTTAAAAGAAGTGAAATAATTTGCTAAGGCCACTGTGTTAATGACAGAGTTTAAATTGAAACAACAGTTTAGGACTTCTGAACAGTAATCCTTAACTAAAGTACTCTGCAGGATAGGACTCATGGCTGATTTTGTTTGTAGTACCTTTATGCATCTGTGTTAACCGGCTTAGCTTATAGCTTCTTGTTAACAATTAGAATACTATCTAATGACCACTATGGTCTTTTTGGATTCTGCCTTATATTTTCATGATCCCTGATTGCAAAACTTGGCCTCTTAGCACGTAAACAGAAATGAAAAAAACACATATGGTTTAGTGCCAGCTCATTTGAATAAAAATTAAAATAATAATAAAAAAATTTTTTAAAAAGAAAAAATATTAAATAGTGTAGACAATACCTAGAAATGAGGGGATTGTCTTCAAATTGAATCTTTAATACTTACCTTCTCTACATCTCCCAGCCCTTCAGTGTCAAGCAGAACTAGGGTGTAGCTTGGTTTCTTAGGGTGAGGCACACACCACATCCAGATGCCTTTGGTGTGAGACTGAACGGTGGAGCCCAGAGAGAAGCCTTCAGGGGGAGAGGAGAGAGAGGGAGTGGAGTTTTTATAGCAGATGTGTCTTAAAACGGAGATAAACATGAACATAATCAAGGTAAGGAGAGATTTCAAGCATTAGCCTGGGTAGAGTGGCTCAGAGGTTGATCATTGTCCTAAGAACCAGGAGGTCATTGTTGGATTATGGAGCAAGGCACATGCCGTGGTTAAGGGTTCCATCCCCAGTGTGTGGAATGCAGGAGGCTGCTGATCAATGGTTCTCTCTCATAACTAATGTTTATAACTCTCTCTCCCTCTCCCTTCCTCTCTGAAATCAATAAAAATACATTTAAAAAAAAACTACAATCAGTATTGATTTTACAGAGAAACAGGGAAATTCAAATATCCAATACATAAAAACCTTCAACACCTTTTTATTATAAAAACATTAACAATTAGGACTAGAAGAAAACTAACTCAACATAATAAAAGCTATATATGAAAATCCTTCAGCCAGCATCACATTTTATGATGCAAGATAGAAAGCTTTTCCTTCTACAAAATTAATCAAAATAGTTCAAAGACCTACATGTAAGACCTAAACCTATAAAATTCATAGAAGAAAATATAGGGGGAATGCTTCATAATATTGAATTTGGAATGATTTGTTGGATATGGCACCAAAAGCATAAACAATGAAAGAAAAATAGATAAGTTGGATTCAAAATTAAAACTTTTGTGGGTGAAAGGATACTATCAACAGTTTCATAGGTATCTTATGGAATGGGGGAAAATATTTCTTAGTTAAGGGATTGAGATCCAGAATCATGAAGAAGTCTTGCAACACAACCCCAGAAAACAAACAACCCAATTAAAAAGTGAGCGAAGGACTTGAACAGACATTTCCTTAAAAAAATATACAAATAACCAATAAACACATAACAAGATAATTAACAGCACTAGCTATCAGGGAAATACAAATCAAAACCACAATAAGATATTATTTCACACCCATTAGGATGATGACTATCAAAAAAATAAAATAAAAGCCTGCCAGAATGGCTCATGGTTGAGTGTGGACCTATGAACCAGGAGGCCATGGTTTGATTCCCAGCTTGGGTTTCGAGCTTGATCCCCAGTGTGGGGCATGCAGGAGGCAGACAATCAATGATTCTCTCTCATTAATAATGTTTCTATCTCCCTTTCTCCCTGTCTGAAGTCAATAAAAACAAACAACAACAAAAAACACCACACACACAGCAAAATAACAGGTATTGACAAGAATGTTGAGAAATTAGAATCCTGTGTATTTCTGGGAGAAATGTAAAATGGTAGAGTTGTCGTGGGAAATTATATACTGATTCTTTAAAAAATTAAACATAGAATTCTAGGAAAAGAATACAAATTATGCTTTTAAAAGGGAAATTAAGGCAAGTGGAAAGAGACAGAGAGTTGACTCTTTCAGACCATAGTAAGATAAGAACATAATGGTAGATAAAATGTCGCTTTCAATGTTCCTCCCCATCTCTACCTTGCTCTTCTTGTAACACCATACTCCATGCTGGGAGTGTGGGGAGACAGAAGGGATCTGGCAGAGCTTAGCTCTGCTCCTCACCTTTTTGCTGCCCAGCCAGCTTGTTCATCAGGTAGGATTTGCCTGTGCGATAGAGACCCACAATGGCCACCACCACAACAGGCTGTGTAATGGCAGACAGGATGTTCAAAGCTTCTGGATTAACCACTAGTTGCGTGTTAGTGTTCTCAATGAGGCACACCGGGCCTGGCATGTGGATGTCTGAGGCCATGTCCAGGGTGTCACCTTATCTGCAAGTGAGGAGATGGGATGGATTAGAATTTCCAGTCTAAGTAGATCAAGAACTTTCACCAAAAAGTTACAGAAGTTCAATTGAAGTAGTCCAATAAAAAAATATTGGTAAGACAAGGACATCAACATTTAATCACTTTCATGAACAAAATCTTTAATTTACCATAGAAAACTTTCTTTTTAGATTCTCATTAAAATTTTCAGACTAGAGCCCGCCTGGTCTGGCTCAGTGGTTGAGCGTGGACCCATGAACTAGGAGGTCAGGGCTCAATTCCTGGTCAGGGCACATGCCTAGCTTGTAGGCTTGATCCTCAGTAGGGGATGCATAGGAGGCAGCCAATCAATGTTTCTCTCTCATTATTGATGTTTCCATCTCTCTCTCCCCCTTCCTCTCTCTAGAAATATGAAAATTTTATTTACAGGACATTAAATATAAAATGGAATAGGGTTTAGAGAGTAGTTTACATCCTGGCCATATGTAAGAAATTTAGTATTTATTTGTTAATTCTGCTATGAATAAAGACTTTTGGGAATAAGTGTTTCATCATTTGATGTATGCTCTTTGGACAAATTTTACAGATTTTTTTGTTTTTAATCCTCACTGGAGGATATTTTTCCATTGATTTTTAGGGACAATGGAAGGGAGGTGGGAGAGACACAGAGAGAGAAACATCGATGTGAAACAGACACTTGGATTGGTTGCCTCCTGCACATGCCTCCACCGCAACCATTCAATCCACCCTTCATCCAAGGGTTTACACTGTAACTACTGTGCAAAAACAAGCAGGTTTGAAATGTGTGTTTTTTCTACTAGTTGTGCTTATTTTGCAGAAGTGAGGGTTCACAGAACTGTTTATACTGCTATTCTGGAAGTGGAACCAATATAACTTACATTTACAAATTTTATAAAAATGAATGACGGCATGAAAAACATGACTAGGGACCTGCACAAAGCCTTGATATGGGCTTGTGCAAGCAAGGGGCCCTATACTTCAACTTCATTAGCTTCACAAAAAATTATCCTCCAACTAAAAGGGGATAAGAGTGCACAACTACAAATACTGAATGTTGCCAAAAACCATGTTTGTGTATACATATGTGTGGTGTAAGGGAACAAAAGACTATGAAATATGGATTAAAAGATCAGGAAGCAGATCAGGGGAGCCTAGGTTGTTTGATGAAAATATATTTCCAGTCATACACTTGTAGGTTTTCTGTTTTGTTCTGTTTTTCCATTCGGTTGAGGAGAAGGAGGAGCAGGAAGAAGACAGGAGGGGAGAAAGCTGGGGAGAGAGAGGGAGAGGAAGAGCTGAAAGGAGAGAGAGAGGGGGTTGTCAGAGAAGTAGGTAATGAGGAAAGTTCATGCCAAGCTAAGGAATTCAGAAGCAGTTTCCAGAAAGCAAGAACAAATTTGCTTGAGAGCACAGAGAGGGCAGGTACACAAAATGTTGGCTTTAGCAATGCAAGTTTCTTAAAGAGAAAACTTTTTAGTACAGTAGGGAGGCCAAATTCTACTTGTAAGGGGTAAGAAAGAAGTTGGCCCTAAGAAATTGGATGTGATTGATTGGAGCTATTTTTTATTTTATTTTATTTTAAAAAATTGTTATTTTTCATTTACAGTTGACAATCAATATTATATGATTTTCAGTGTACTACATAATGGTTAGATATTTGTATACCTTAAAAGGATCCCTTCTATGGGTCTACATGTCAGCATACATAATTATAACAATACCTGAGGCCCGATGCACGAATTCATGCATGGGTGGGGTCCCTTGGCCTGGCCGGTGATTGGGGCCAATCGGGAGTCTCATCCAATCCGTATTAGGGCCGATCAGGGCCAGCCGGGCAGGTGGAAGGGCCATGGGACGTTGGCTGGCCGGCCATGGGAGGTAGCCACAGGGGGTTGGCCAGCTGCAGGAGGTTGGCTGTGGGAGCACACTGACAACCAGGGGGCAACTCCTGCATTGAGCCTCTGTCCCCTGATGGGCAGTGCACAACATAGCAGCTAGTCATTCTGGTCATTCCACCTTAATGGTTTCTTAGGCTTTTATTATATAGACTAGAGGCCCGGTGCACAAAAGTCTCTCAGCCCCACTTGTGCCCTCTCACAGTCTGGGACCCCTTGGGGGATAACGACCTGCTGGCTTAGGCCCGCTCCCGGGTGGCAGAGGCAGATCAGGAGGTTGCGATGCCACCCCCAGTCACGCTCAGGGTAGGGCCGATTGGGGGGTTGGGGCACCGCCCCCTGTCACACTCAAGGCAGGGTCGATTGGGAGGTTGTGGCGCCACCCCCTGTCATGCACAGAGCAGGGCCAATCAGGGGGTTGGGGAGCTCCCCCCATCACTCACAGAGCAGGGCCCATCAGGGGATTGGGGAGCTCCCCCCTGTCACACTCAGGGCTGGGCCGATGGGGAGGTTGCAGCTCCACCCTGTCACACACAGAGCAGAGCCCATGGGGGCATTAAGGCACCGCACCCTGTCACACACAGAGCAGGGCCGATCAGGGGGTTGGGGGACCTTCCCCTGTCATGAACAGAGCAGGGCAGATAGGGAGGTTGTTGCCCCGCCTCCTGTCACACACAGAGCCGCAGGGTGATCGGGGGTTTGGGCGCTGCTCCCTGTCACGCTGCTCCAGGGGCCAGGAGGCCTCGTGGCTCCACTGATTCCAGTGCTGGGAGGCCTCGTGGCTCTGCTTGACACCAGGGCAGTGAGGCCTCGCTGCTCCGCTGATCCCGGTGCTGGGAGACCTTGCTGCTCTGCTGATCCCTGTTCCAGGAGGCCTCGAGGCTCCGCTGATCCCGGGTTTGGGAGTCCTCATGGCTCCGCTGATCCCGGTGCTGGGAGGCATATTACCCTTTTACTACATAGGATAGAGGCCTGGTGCATGGGTGGGGGCCGGCTGGTTTGCCCTGAAGGGTGTCCAGATCAGGGTGGGGGTCCCACTTGGGTGCCTGGCCAGCCTGGATGAGGGGATGATGGCTGTTTGCAGCTGGTCACACCCCCTTCAGGGTGGGGATTCCCACTTGGGTGCCTGGCCAGTCTGGGTGAGGGGCTGAGGGCCGTTTTTAGGTTGGCGGGCAACTGAAGCTCCCAACCTCTCCTTTTTTTCTTTTTTTTTCTTTTTTTATTCTGGGATTTATTTACCTTCTGTGGCTGTCACTGGAGCTGAGAGCTGGCTCCAGCTCTGAGGCTGGCTCCAGCTCTGAGGCTGGGGCTGGCTGAAAGCAGGTATCTGGGTTTATTTACCTTCTATAATTGAAACATTGTTGCTATCACTGCCGCTCTAAGCTCTGAGGCTGAAGCTGGCTGAAAGCAGGTATCTGGAGCTTGTTTAGCTTCTGTAATTGCAACTTTGTTGCTTAGAGTGTAGCTTAGAGCAGGGCGAGGCAGGCGGGGAATGTTGGGTTTCTCCGTCACTGGAGCAAGCAAGCCTCCTGTTCGCTTCAGCTGCCTGGCTGCCGGCTGCCATCTTGGTTGGCAGTTAATTTGCATATCTCGCTGATTAGCCAATGGGAAAGGTAGCGAAGTTATGGTTAATTACCATGTTTGTCTATTATTAGATAGGACTAGAGGCCCAGTGCACGAAATCCGTGCACTGGGGGGAGGGGGTCCCTCAGCCTGGCCTTCACCCTATCCAATTTGGGACTCCTTGGGGGATGTCAGACTGCTGGTTTAGGCCTGATCCTGAACCAGCAGTTGGACATCCCTCTCACAATTCAGGACCACTGGCTCTTAACCACTCACCTGCCTGCCTGATTGCACCTAACCACTCTGTTTGCCAGCCTGATCACCCCCAATTTCTGGCCTGATTGCCCCCAACTACCCCCTTCCACCAGCCTGATTGCTCCCAACTGCACCCCCCTCGCCAGCCTGATTGGGGTTGGGGGGCTGATTGGGGGTGGGGCTGGCCATGGGGAGGGGCTGTGGTTGGTGGGCTGGGCAGCCACCCCCCCAAATGGGTTGGGGGGTGGCGATCAGGGCCAGTGGCCTGGGGGAGGAGCCAAGGGTGGTTGGCCAGCCAGCCCTGCCCCTGATTGCGATGGGGGGAGCAATCTGAGGTGGGCCTGGGCAAGGGGAGAGGCTGCAGGAGATTGGCTGGCCAGCCCTGCCCCCTACTGGGGTGGGGGGATCAGGGGTGGGGCCAGCCTGGGGAGGGGCTGCAGGACATTGGCTGCCCAGCCCTGCTCCCTTTTGGGGTGGGGGGGTGCAATCAGGGGCAGACAGCCATGGGGAGGGGCTGTGGGCCTATTGTGGTGGGGCAGGTTGATCAAGGGTGGGGCTGGCGGGGGGGGGGTGGTGGGAAGAGAGGGGGTATTTGGCCAGCCGGCCCGCTCTTTTTTTTTGGCAACTTCACAACTTTTACTTGTGGTGCCTGTGCTATGTCTGAAAAATACCTTCTCCCCCTGCCCGGGACAGCGATGGGGAGGGGGCAGCAAAAAATAGAAGACATTCCTCCCTATTGCACACGGACCCTATATACAGGCTCACCCGGCCCAGGCCAGCAGGATGCTTGGCACATTCTAGGATCCCTGCTCAGGGGCTGGAGGGGTGACTGGTGGAAACACATGTGAGAGGGGACCTCTGGGTGACCACTCTGGTCCTGGCTACTGGTTCTGGCACTTCCTGGTCCTCAGCTCCTTTCTGGTCCTGCCTGCAGCCCTGGTCCCCCTACCTGGCTCAGCCTCCCATCTCCATCCTGGCCTCAGATGGCCCCCTTGGCTCCTGGGGGCTCTGTCCTCCCCTCCTAACCTGGAGATCTCAAGGAATGTTATGGCTTCTCAGAAACTCCTTGACAGCCCTGTCACTCATGTTCACACAGGGAAGGGGTGCATGTGGCAAAAGCAGCTGTATAAATGCGGGTGCAGGGGCAAGTCCTCTTGGGTCACTTGGACAGTTTGCTGATGACGCAGATCAGGGCCACATTCTCATCCTTGAGGTGCTGGTTGTCAGCTTGGAGATTGGACAGGCCCTTCAGCTCCTCTTCCAGTTCAGCGGCCTTGCACTCCAGGGCCCTGCACTCAAATCTCGCCAGCTCCAGGATGGCCGGCCTCTCTGCAAAGCGCTCCTGCCTCTGCATGGAGCGCTCCAGCTCCACCTTGAGCTGCTCCAGCCGCAGCGTGGTCTGGGTCAGGGCCTCACGAAGTCTCTTGTTCTCAATGTGCAGCTTTGCGTAGAGCTTCCTGAAGCTCCCTCAGGCTCTTCCAATTTGGGCTGGGGTTCTGGGTTTAGGTCCTGCTGCCTCTGGAGTGGAAGGGCGGGATTCTGGGCTGATGTCCACTGGCTTCACCTTCTCCCCGTTCACAGGCCCTCTCCTCTCATTGCCAACTCTGCAGGGCTCCCTGGAGGCCTGTAGTCCCTGTCCCTGCCCCTCAGGCACCTCTACTCTCTGGGCAGGGCCATCAGAATTCTTAACCCCAGGGACTCAGGGCTGCCAGGAAGGGTCCAGGCTCTGAGCGCCCTGCTCTTGATGTGGATGGGAGCATCTGATCAGGGGAAGGCCTGCAGCAGGGAGGGGCTGCAAGGTTGGCTGCTGGCCCCACCCCCTGATCAGGTGGTGTGCTGGCTACAGTGGGCGTCATAGCGACTGGCCCAATTAGGGCCATGTTCTGCCTGCTCACCACTCCCCAGTCCCAATACCGCCTCACTGCCGGGCTATCAGGCCATTGGGATCACCAGCTCATGGCGCCTGCTTTCCCACAGGCCTGTGGGAAAGCAGGCACCAGTGGCTTCACCTGCATGCGTGTGCACCCGGCCAGCGGCTGATGGAACGCACTGCCCGCTTGGGGCTGCTCACACCTGGGCGGGCAGGTCGCGGGCACTGCCACCACTGCTACTGCCACTGCCGCTGCCGCCGCTGCTGCTGCTGCTGCTGCTGCTGGGGCTTGAGGCACTGATGGAGGCTGCCAGGCATGCCCGCAACCTACCCGCCCCGGGTTGGGTCGCACATGGGATGCGCTGGCTAGCCGACTGCTGCTGCCGCCCCGGGTCCCATCGCACAGGGGATACCGGGGCGGGTACCCGATC